TTAGACATGCTAGGCATCGATCCATCTTTCATTATTGCCTCAGTATCGAGGCCCCATTCCAACCGGTTGCCGAAAGCAGCGTATTTTCCATCCAGAACGCAATAATCTCATCGCTGTAGAGGTAAATAAGCTGTTGAAGGCCCAATTCATAAAAAATGTGGACTATCCCAAGTTGTTATCTAACGTGGTCTTAGTCCGCAAGAGTAATGGCAAATGGAGACTTTGCGTCGACTACTCCGATCTCAACTGAGTCTATCCAAAGGATAGCTACCTACTACCTAGGATAGATCTATTGGTTAACGCAACAGCAGGCCACTAGATGCTTAGTTTCATGGATGCGTTCTCAGGCCATAACCAGATCTTAATGTATGAGGCCAATCAGGAGCACACATCTTTCATTACTGATAGAGGAACTTATCATTACCTTGTGATGCCATTCGGTTTGAAATATGTAGGGGCCATTTACCAACGACTAGTCAACACCGTTTTCAAAAACCAGATAGGTAGGAATATGGAGGTCTATGTTGATGACATGCTCGTCAAAAGCAAGTTATCCTCAAAGCACTTAACAGACTTGCGGGAGACCTTCCAGGCCTTGTGCAATATAAGATGAAGCTAAATCCAAAGAAGTGCACTTTCAACGTTAGGTCTGGCAAGTTCTTGGGGTTCATGGTCAGCCATAGAGGTATCGAAGCCAATCCAGAAAAGATCAAGACCCTAATAGAAATACAGTCTCCTAGAACGTTCAAGGGGGTTCAGCGGCTCACGGGTAGAGTAGCCGCCCTCAACCGCTTCATATCAAGGGTAATCGATAAATGTCTCCCCTTCTTCAAGGTGCTTCGGAAGGCTTTCGACTGGAACGCCGAATCCGAAGAGGTATTCCAACAACTAAAACAGTGCATGGCAAACCCTTCTCTACTCTCTCAAGCAATTCCAAGAGAGGCCCTTTTCCTCTATTTAGTCGTTTCCAATACTGCGGTTAGTGTTGCCCTAATCAGAGAGGAAGTCTTAGTCCAGCACTCGGTTTACTACATCAGTTGAGCACTTCGAGGGGTAGAATAGAACTATCCATTGTGAGAGAAGATGGCTCTAGCTCTGGTAATCGCCTTCAAACGCCTCCAACCCTATTTTCAAGCCCATTTCATTGTGGTCTTCACTGACTAACTTTTGAAGAAAGTTATGTAATAACCAGAGACATCAGGCAGGCTCATGCAGTGGTCTATTGAACTAAGCCAATACGAGATCTCTTATCGACCTCGAACAGCTATCAAAGGCCAAGACGCTGCCGACTTCATATTGGAATTCACCAATCTCCCCCCAAACATACCTCTTCCACCGACCTATCCTTCCCGAGGCGACTAACCCCCATTCTTGGACTTTTAACATTAACAGTTCATCCCGAAAAGAAGGTAGTGGAGCCGGCATAATCCTTACCACCCAAGAGAACGAGTACTTCAAATGTACCCTCTGATTCTTGTTCGCTGCCAACAATAATGAGGCTGAGTACAAGGCCCTGATAGTGGGTCTTCAATTGGCCCAAGACATTGGAGATGACCATCTCTAAGTATCTAGTGATTCCTAATTTCTTGTCGGACAGATAACTGGGGAGTTCGATACAAAAGAAGAAACAACGCGATTGTACAAGGACATCGCTATTCCTCTTACCCACCTCTTCAGTAGTTTCCATATCAAACATATTCCCAAGTCAGAAAACTCTCAACCAGATGAAATGCCCCAATTAGCCTCGGCTGACCAGTCAAATCTCAGTCACAGTGTCCGAGTCGAATACCTGACCCATCCGGTAGTTTCTCCAAATCAACAAGAGGTCTACTTCCTCCAGAGCGAGCATATTTCATGGGCCCAAGACATCATCCCATTCTTAGAACAAGGAGTGTTACCAGACAATAAGTAGGAGGCCGATAATGTCAAGGCTCAGTTGTCTAATTATGTCACCATCGATGGCATCTTGTATAAGCAGTGATTTTCACGCCCATACCTCAGGTGTCTAAATACTGCTCAAGCGAACTATGTGATAAGAGAAATACACGAAGGTGTTTGTGAAAACCATTCAGGGAGACGATCTCTGGCCCATAAAATTCTTCGCACGAGTTACTTCTGGCCCATAATCAATCAAGACGCCAGTGATTTTGTGCTCAAATGTGACAAATGCCAGTGCTTCGCAAACATACTTTATACTCCACCAGCGAAACTGATCACACTCTGCAGTCCCTACCCCTTTGCCAAGTGGGACATTGACCTAATCGGTCCCTTGCCCACAGGCATTGGCCAAGTCAAGTTCACTGTGGTTGTCATTGACTACTTCATCAAAAGGGGGTTGGCCTAGTGGGGGTTGTCTTGGATTACCCAAACGATCACTCACCTGAAGCCCAGCAAGGCAAGCCCAACATTAAGCCCAGTGGAGAACTTACGATGATTAGGCCCAGACACCAGCTAGCTAATCATCAGGAAGAGAGCTGGCCACATGATAGACAAAGATTTTGGGAAGTTATTGAGCCTACGTGCCAAACATTTAATGAGTCTATCAAAACATTAAACGCAACAAGACCTCTCATCATAAGACAGAAGAAAACCACTATGGTCGATGACAAGCAAATAGTAGGCTTTCGGCCAATGGGACAAAATGAACGGACAGGGAAATAATGAATGAGCAATATAAGGAAGCTCCTAATTTACGTTGTTGGTAAGAAGAAATCTCTTCTCTCTCTCAGACTGTTATTTGATACCACCTAAATCATTCTGATCCCATTTAACTTAGCTATCAAAGGGTCCACAGGAGGGAACCATTCCACATTGGAACCTTCCCATTGGACTCGTTGCAAGAACCTCCATTGGTCACGACCTAAACCCGTCCCTATAGGTTTAGTGTCGTAACCGGCCAGTAATCTACGATTACTAAGGGCCTAATTGAACAAAGCAAATGGCCGGGGGCTAGCGGAAGCTACTACATAAGAAAGTAAAACATCCAACAAGCTATGAATGTACACGAGACAAAAGGTATTACTATATATTTATATATATATATACACATCAAGGTATCACAAGTTTGTCAAAATAAAATCAAAAGAGAGAGGTACATGTAAACAAAGTGAAACTATGCATAACATAACAGCAACTGCCGAAAAGGGTGATCACCGGCCACCCACAAAACCTCGATAGATGGGAACCTCGCGGTGAGGCACAATAAGTAGCTTAACAAAATTGAGGTAAGGTCGTCGCTACTACGTCCCCTCCTGAACTGGATCACCTACATAATATATAACAAAACGTGAGCTAGAGCCCAGTGAATAACAGCTGTGTAAAGGGATTCTGAATGATGATCATAATGTAAGGCAAATCACATACTGAGCAGATTCTTATCTCATACAGAAAGCATAAAAGTTATACGTGGTATATCTCAAAGCAACTAATACAGACGGTCTAGAAGACCGAACAGGCGGTCATAAAGACCAATAATCTAATATGATGGCCATCGCTATAGTAAACAGGAGTTCCAGGAATTGGAACTGACAGAGATCTCTGTAATAATGTAAACAGGTGCTAAGGATGCCACGATATATAGTGTAAGAAAAATAGGATCTTCATTCAAAAACATAAGAAAAAGCATGTCAGAAAGCAAAATATAAAGCAAGAAATAGATATTTTAAGTTAAACATATCTTTACAACAGTGTTACTCACAGTTGGCTCTGTGAATTACGTGATTGGGATGTGGTGTTTGATCTACACAGACAGATACAAGCATAACACACTTAATTGGTTGCTCTAATTGTCCCTTACGCTTTTTAAATGCTTGTGTAACGCAGAAGAATGTTAACTATTTGTGAAAACCACGTTAACGAAGGCCCACAAGAGGGACAAATGAAGCAGAAAAATGAAATCAAGCCAGCCAAACTGCCACACATGCGAAGTGCCCTGGCTTCATGTGCAGGACTCCCACTGCACGTGCGCCAGCAGGTGCTTTTATTTCAGAATGCAAGATGACTTTCCCCTTGTTTTCCCCACGTACGGGCCTCCTCGCCGCACGTGCGGTTTCCCATGTCGCATGTACAGTTCTGGGTGTTCTAGAACCAAAATTTTGCTATGTTTTTGAGCTTCAATCCTCCAAAAATCAAACCCAAATTTGAACAAACAAAGGCTTAAAACTTACAAAAACATGATGAAAGAGTAAATTCTAAGTTCAAACCAACATCATAAGTTCAACCAACTCATTGGTATTGGAAAAAAAAAGATCAAAACTTTGAGTATACCTTTTCCAACTCAAATCCATAAATTCCTTCCTCCAATTACCAAAGATCAAGCAAAAGAAAGGAATTGAACATGATTGATGCTATGTATGCCATATGTGAACATGAAATCTTGAATTTAGGGTTCTTGACATAACCTACACTGCTCCAATTCCTAAACCAATGCAAATTCTCTCATCTCACATGTTAATTCCCAAGGTTATATGTTAATTCCCAAGATTGAGACAAGAATTCTTACCTTAGTTTATGGAATTGTGGAAGATTGACCCTAACCCTCTTGCTACTCTTCTCTTCATCTTCTTCTTTTTCTCTCAAACTCTAGAATTCTCTCTCTCTCTCTCTCTCTCTCTCCTATTTGAGTTAAACATATATATAAATTATCTAATTTATTTAACTTGGATTAATTAAATTAAAATCACATCAATTAAATTATTTCTTACTGTTACCTAAGTTAGTTGAACCCTACTTTGTCTGATTAAGGTGAATTAGGCTCTACCCACTTAGTCTATCATTTAATTTGTAACCTTACACTTTAACGAATCAAACAAGTCTTTTTCATAAATTAATGTATTTGTCAAGCAAAACATAGTGCAAATGGCACATGGTACACACGTAGCACACACATAAACGTAGAATGCATATATAAACACGTAATTAAAGTAAACCATAAAATTAACAGGTAAGTAAAGAGGCGGGTGTTGCAGTCTCTCCGCTTTAGGACGTTTGGTCATCTAAACTCAATTACCTTTTTCTGTGAAAATTGTGGGGTCTAATGGAAAAAGTTCGGGGTATTTCTCTTGCATGTCTGCTTCTCTTTCCCAAGTTGCATACAAGCCACTGTGGTTTTGCCAGTCTATCTTTACCAACGGGATTTTCTTATTCCTCAACTTCTTGATACACCGGCTAACAATTCGAATGGGTCGTTCTTCATATGTATAGTCATCACTCACAAGTATCTGAGTAGGTTCAATAACTTGTTGAGGGTCTAGAAGTGATTCTTTCAACATGGAAACATGGAAAACATTATGCATGTGCTCCATATCCAGAGGTAGGGCTACCCGATATGCTACCGGATTAAGTTTTTCAATGACCTCATATGGTCCGATGTACTGAGGTGCTAACTTACCTTTGGCTCCAAAACGAGTGTGTCCCTTCATTGGCGTAACCTTGATAAAAACATGATTGCCCACCTTATATTCTCTCTCCCATCTACGTACATCCGCATAGCTCTTCTGTCGACTCTGTGTTATTTTCAACCGTTGTTGGATCAATTTCACTTTCTCAGTAGTTTCCTTCACAAGTTCAGGTCCTAATAATGGTTTATCTCTAACCTCAACCCAACAAATCGGTGACTGACATTTCTGGCCATAGAGAGCCTCATATGGTGCCATGCCAATACTTGAATGATAGCTGTTGTTGTATGCAAATTCAACTAAAGGAAAATGTATCTCCAAATTCCCTTGAAAATCCAGCACACATATATGTAACATATCCTCTAATGTTTGTATCGTCCTTTCTAACTGACCATCTGTTTGTAGATGATAGCACTGCTCAATCTTAAGTCAATTCCTAATGATTTTTGTAGACTCTGCCAAAATGTCGAAGTGAACTTTAGGTCTCTATCAGATACGATCAACACAGGCACTCCATGCAACTTTACAATTTCATTCATATACAACGTCGCCAATTTATCCACATTACAAGTCGTTTTAACAGGTAAGAAATGAGCCGATTTTGTTAAGTGGTCAACAATCACCCAAATAGAATCCATACCTCTACTGGAGCATAACAGGCAAGTTCAGTAAATTTTGTCTCATATTCAGCCACCGACATGGTGCCTTGTTTCAGTTGTTCAAACTCAGTCACCTTTCTATCCCTAACACACTAAGGGAAATACTTCTCGAAGAAGGCTCTTTTGAATTGAGCCCAAGTCATTACGGTGTTGTTATCACGGATAAGCATCCACCACCTTCTGGCTTCTTCTTGCAGAGTAAAGGTGGCCAATAGCACTTTATGTGCTTCAGAGCACGGAAAAACCTCAAACAATTTTTCAGTCTCAAGAACCTCAACAACTTGAGCTAGTTCTAGGCTTAGGTCATTAAGAACACAAGAACCATGGATGAACATTCATAAACACAACAATAAAAGGTTGGATTTCCTTACCTAAGTCTTTAATTAGAGGTATGGAGGCTCAATGTTGTAAGAACTCATTTAATCTTCCTAATTTCCAAGCAATTCTCTCAAGAACAAATCAATTCTCTCTCACTCTCTATCTTGGTCGGTTGAGACAAGGAAGGGCTGATGAATTGTGTTGTTTCTAATGTAATAAGGCTCAACAATAGTCCAAGTAGTGGGCCACTAGGTGTGACAAAATGGTAAATAAGTGTAACAATGCAATTTAATTCATTTTAATCTAATTTAATCATACCTAATCAGTTATCAGATAAATATGCCATAAATTCACATTAATTCTAACAATCATAGAACATCAATCAATTTCAGATTCGGCCGCCGATAAGGCCTTCAATTCGCAAATTAACCATAAAAACACGAACAGATCAATTAACAAGCAACAAATAAAAATGCATTTAAACAAATACAGTCAATCAATCAGTTTCGGATTTCAGTCAGTTAGTTCAGTATTTCAATCAATTCAATTACTTCAGTTATCAATCACAATCAGTCTCAGTTTAGCAGTAATCAGTGGTTAATCGGTAAACAGTGACGAGGGTTGTCACAGTAATGGCTGAAGTAATCCTGTGGGTCGTTGATATTCTGCCTTAACTTGCTGACATTGCAAACATCTGGACACAAATTCCGTGATTTCTCTTTTCATTCTAGGCCACCAGAAATGTGTTTTTAAGTCTTGGTACATTTTTGTATTTCCCAGGTGAATGGAGAACCTTGAACTGTGGGCTTCTTGCAAAATCTGTCTTTTCAAAGCACTATCATTTGGTTCACACAACCTTCCCTAAAATTTGAGTATATCATTCTCAACACTGAAACCTGGTCTAGGTTTGGAATCTTGTTCATCTACTATTTTCTTTAGGAACTCATCTTGCAATTTCTTTTCTTTGATCTCTTTAAGGATTGCAAGCTCATGTAGTAATATCTTCTGTCTAGTGAGTAAACAAGCTAAGTTTCCAAGGGATTTCCAACTGAGGGCATCGGCCATTCTGTTAGCTTTTCTAGGATGGTACAAAATTTACAGATCATAATCTTTAATTAACTCTAACTATCTATGCTGTCTCATGTTTAGTTCTTTCTGAGTAAAGAAGTATTTAAGACTTTTGTGATCTATGTACACTTCACATGTTGCCCCATACAGATAGTGGCGCCAAATTTTTAAGGCAAAAACTACTGCAGCCAGTTCCAAGTCATGAGTTGGATAACTCTTTTCGTGTGGTCATAAGTGACGGAAAAGCATAGGCAATTACCTTTCCATTTTGCATTAACACGCACCCCAAGCCTTTATAAGAGGCATCACTGTAAATGGTAAAGCCATCCATGCTGGAGGGTAAAGTGAGAATCGGTGCTGTCATAAGTCTTATCTTCAATTCTTGAAAAGCTACCTCTCTCTGTTCAGTCCATTCAAATAGTACTCCCTTTTGGGTCAACTGAGTAAGTGGCAAGGCGATTTTTTAGAAGTCTTTCACAAATATACGGTAATACCCCGCTAAACCCAAGAAACTGCGGACCTCTATGACATTTGTTACTCTAGGCCAATTCACAACGGTTTCTATCTTTTGTGGATCAACAGAAATGCCATCTTTCGTTATCATATGTCCCAGAAACATCACACTATCTAGCCAAAATTCACATTTCAACAATTTTGCATACAATTTCTTCTCTCTCAATGTTTGAAGAGCAAGTCTCAAGTGATGTTCATGCTCCTCTTTACTTTTGGAATAAATTAGAATGTCATCGATAAAAATAACAATGAACTCGATAAAAATAACAATGAACTCATCAAGGAAGGACTTAATTAAATCCATAAAAGCAGTTGGTGCATTAGTAACCCCAAAAGGCATAATAAGGAATTCATAATGACCATATCTTGTTTGAAAAGCAGTCTTCTCCACATCTTTAGCTTTAACTTTTAGCTGGTGATACCCAGATCGTAAGTCAATTTTAAAAAATACCTGTGCCCTTTGTAATTGGTCAAACAGATCATCAATGCGTGGCAACAGGTACTTATTCTTTATTGTCACCTTATTTAACTCCCAATAATCAATGCAAAGCCTTAGGGTTCCATCATTCTTTTTGACAAATAAAACTAGAGCACCCCACGGAGACATACTAGGCTTGATAAATTTCTTCTCTAGCAACTCTTGTAATTGAATTTTCATCTCTTTTAGTTCAGCGGTCGACATTCGGTATGTTTTGGAAATTGGCAGTGTACCCGGTACTATCTCAATAGTAAATTCAATTTCTTGGTCAACCAAATTTCCTGGCAAATCAACTAGAAACCCATCTGGGAACTCTTTTACTATAGGAATTCCATCTACATTAGATTTAACAGTAGTTAGTGCCATTTGTACAGAACATAAAAATCCCCGACAACCCTTATTAATCAATCTATTTGCTTTCATGGAGGAAATCAAATATGGGGGAGATATGACACCATTCCCGTTAAATGTAAATTCAGGCGCTTCAGGTAAGTGAAACATAACCTGTTTAGTCAGGTAGTTAATAGTAGCACAATATTTTGCTAACCAGTCCATCCCCAAGATAACGTCAAAGTATGCAATATCTAAAGGCAACAAATCCACAAACAAATTCATGCCTCCAATAGTGATCTCACATGCAGGATACATAGATGCACAAGTCATAGCTCCTCCCGCCGGAGAGTTTATAACTAATAGATAGTTCATTGGTTCCACGAGTCTAACTAATTTTGGAGCAAAAGCATAAGACACAAAGGAATGTGTAGACCCCTAGTTAATCAAAACATATGCATCTTGAGAACAGATAGGAAGGATACCTGACACAACTGTCTCTGTAGTCTGCACATCACCCGGTACCAATGCAAAAACCCTTCCTTGCTTTAGAGTTTCCTTTCTCATAGCTTCTTTCGACGTTGCCCTTGTGTTGATACTGATGCAGTTGAGCTTGCCTTAGGCTAGCTTATTCTTTAGGACACTAACAGATAATCCTTGATCATATGGCCTATTTTTCTACACCAAAAACATGTGCCAAAAATTCTACGACAAACTCCCTTATGTCTTTTCCCACACTTCGGACAGATGGGTGTATCATTCCCTTGACTTGAGCTAATAGATGATCCCGTATTCTGTCTCTTGTTTGGAAGAATGTTGAAGTTGTTCTGACCCTTCTTGAAATTAGATCCTGATCTCTTACCATTCCATTCAATCATCGGTGCATTTGCTTGTCTTAGTGCAACAACATTTGCCTAAGCCATAATGGCTTTATCCAAGACATCAACATATTTTTCTAACTTGAGTACGTTAATTCAATCAAGAACCTCAACATCCAATCCGCCTTCAAACTTTCTAACTTTTTTGTAATTGGTATCTACCATATGTGGTGCATATCGCGCAAGCTAAGTAAATTTGGCTTCATACTCCGCCACTGACATAGTGCCATGCTTTAATTGTTCAAATTCCGTTACTTTACGATCCCTTACACACTGCGGAAAATACTTTTCTTAAAATGGCTCTTTAAACTGTGCCCAAGTCATGGTAGTTGGCTAATTACGAACAAGCATCCACCACATTCTCGCTTTCTCTTGCAACGTGAAAGTGGCCAACAACACCTTTTGCTTTTCAGTACATGGGAATACTTCGAATAACTTTTCAATCTCTAGTATCCAGGCTTCAGTTTTTAACAGTTCAAGACCTCTCGGAAAAGTAGGCAGTTTCAATTTGTTAAACTTCTGTGTTAGGGTAATAATGTCACCATTGTTGGGTGGCGGAAGAGGAGGTGGAAATGGCTGTCTCAGTTATTGTCTTAACACTTCTGTCAATAACTCTACCATTCGCTCTAACCGATCCATTCTTACATCAGAAGACTCAAATGTCTCTGTAGGTCTTGTCTCTTTCATTAGTCTATATGTAAACAGAGTGATAATAAACATTGGATACATAGAGTTCGCACTTGCATTGTTACCACATAAGCACATAAAGAACCCACACACACTCATACATGCAAATAAAATGCCCTAATTTCTTTTTTAGGACATCATATAGCTCAGTTGGACGTGTGTGTGCGGTATAACTCGTGCTCTGATACCACTCTGTCACGACCCAAACCCGCCCCTATCGGTTTAGTGTCGTAATAGGCCAGTAATCTGCGATTACCAAAGGCTTAACTGAACAAAGTAAACGAACGGGGGCTAGCGGAAGCTACTACATAAGAAAGTAAAACGTCCAACGAGCTGTGAACGTACATGAGACAAAAGGTATTACTATATATATATATATATCAAGGTATCACAAGTTTGTCAAAATAGAACCAAAAGAGAGAGGTACGTGTAAACAAAGTGCAACTGTGCATAACATAAGAGCAACTACCCAAAAGGGTGATCACCAGCCACCCCGCAAAACCTTGATAGATGGGAACCTCGCGGTGAGGCACAATAGGTAGCTTAACAAAACTGAGGTAAGGTCGTCACCACTACGTCTCCTCCTGAACTGGATCACCTACATAATATATAACAAAACGTGAGTTAGAGCCTAGTGAATAACACCTGTATAAAGGGGTTATGAATGATGATCATAATGTAAGGCAAATCACATACTGAACAGATTCTTTTCTCATACAGAAAGCATAAAAGTTATACGTGGTATATCTCAAAGCAACTAATACAGACGGTCTAGAAGACCGAACAGGCGGTCATAAAGACTGATAATCTAATATGATGGCCATCGCTATAGTAAACAGGAGTTCCAGGAATACAGACGGTCTAGAAGACCGAACAGACTGTCATAAAGACTGATAATCTAATATGATGGCCATCGCTATAGTAAACAGGAGTTCCAGGAATTGGAACTGACAGAGATCTCTGTAATCATGTAAATAGGTGCTAAGGATGCCATGATATACAGTGTAAGAAAAATAGGATCATCATTCCTAAACATAAGAAAAACCATGTCAGAACAGAGCATAATATAAAACAGGAAAGAGATACTAAGTTAAACATATCTTTACAACAGTGTTACTCACAGTTGGCTCCACGAATTACGTGACTGGGACGTGATGTTTGACCTACACAGACAGATACAAGCATAGCACACTTAATTGGTTGCTCTAATTGTCCCTTACGCTTTTTAAATGGTCGTGTAATGCAAAATAATGTCAACTATATATGAAAACCATGCTAACGGAGGCCCAGAAGAGGGACAAATGAAGCAGAAAAATGAAATTGAGCCAGCCAAACTGCCGCATGTGCGGAGTGCCTTGGCTGCACGTGTGAGACTCTCATTGCACGTGCCCCAGCAGGTGGTTTTTATTTCAGAATGCAAGGTGCCTTTCCCCCCTGTTTTCCCCACGTACGGGCCTCCCCGTCGTACGTGCGACCTTGCCTTCCGCACGTGCAGTTTCCAATGCTGCACGTGCGATTCTGGGTGTTCCAGGACAGAAATTTTGCTTTGTTTTTGAGCTTCAATCCTCTAAAAATCAAACCCAAATTTGAACAAACCTAGTCTTAAAACTTACAAAAACATGATGAAAGAGTAAATTCTAAGTTCAAACTAACATCATAAGTTCAAACAACTCAAGAAAAGATCAAAACTTTGAGTATAACTTTCCCAACTCAAATCCAAAAATTCCTTCCTCCAACTACCAAAGATCAAGCAAAAGAAAGGAATTGAACATGATTGATGCTATGTATGCCATATGTGAACATGAAATCTTGAATTTAGGGTTCTTGACATAACCTACACTGCTCCAATTCCTAAACCAATGCAAATTCTCCCATCTCGTATGTTAATTCCCAAGGTTATATGTTAATTCCCAAGATTGAGACAAGAATTCTTACCTTAGTTTATGGAATTGTGGAAGATTGACTCTAACCCTCTTGCTACTCTTTTCTTCTTCTTCTCATTCTTCTCTAAAACTCTAGAATTCTCTCTCTCTCTCTCTCTCTCTCTCTCTCTCTCTCTCTCCTATTTGAGTTCAACATATATATTAATTATCTAATTTATTTAACTTGGATTAATTAAATTAAAATCACGTCAATTAAATTATTTCTTACTGTTACCTAAGTTAGCTGAACCCTACTTTGTCTAATTAAAGTGAATTAGGCTCTACCCACCTAGTTCATCATTTAATTTGTAACCTTACACTTTAACGAATCAGGCATGTCTTTTTCATAAATTAATGAATCTGTCAGGCAAAACATAGTGCAAATGGCATATGGTACACAAGTAGCACATAGATAAACGTAGAATGCATATATAAACACGTAATTAAAGTAAACCATAGAATTAACGGCTAAGTAATGAGGCGGGTGTTACACGACGTGTGGAACCCCTGGATCAGTCCGACCCAGCCCTACCCCGACAAAACTCCTTTATCATATTCGATTGATGTCTAGGGATAAAAGAACGAAGGACATTGTAAAAAAGGAAAGGCCATCGCAATTTGGAAAGAGTAAAAATTTGATTTATTAAAGATATCTTGACATCAAATCCGACTCACTTGTGAAAATAGTGTCCAAGTCCGATTGCAGACTAAGCTTAGTGAGCTTTTTCGTTTCATTGGCCAAGCCAAAACCTTAAACTCAAGCCTTGCTTAATGGACCCGTGTACCTTCTCTCACGACCAACTAGTTGAGCTATTGGGTAGGTCAACAAGCAGTTTGGGTCGAACTAGCCCACCTAGGTTATGGTTGAACCAATTTATGCCATATGAATTCTACTATTCAAATATAATTACCAAACACAATTCATCTCAAACATTGTTTTGTTTTGTTTTTTTTTTATTTTTATTTATTTATAATTTTCCCTAAATATTATGTAAAATTTTTGGGTTAACATATAATTACTGAAATATATAAAAACATATAAAATTAAAAATTAAAAAAAAAAAAGGCTCATAAAGTGGATAAAATCCACCACTCAAGAACCCTGGTGGTTGTGATTTCTCCTCAACAAAGGGGAGTATTGGCGAGGCGGAGCTAATTTTCCCGCCAAGAGAACAAATGCTCTGTTCTCCCACTCTCCGTATCTGTCCTCTCCAAAACCCTCAACTCCATCGCAAAACCCTTTTACTCTCCAAATTCAAACCGTATCTGTCCTCTCCAAAACCCTCAACTCCATCGCAAAACCCTTTTACTCTCCAAATTCAAACCCAATTTCCCACACAAACCCCATCACTTCTCACCTTTCCTAGCTAATCATCTCACCAAGACAATTTCTGGGTATACGGGTTCGTTTCTGGGTCCTTCTTGTTCCAATTCATCGCTCTCTTTCTCTGCCGATGACGATTTGGACGATGAGTTGGAACGCCTTCTGGGTTTGTTGCCGGAAGAGATGTGGCGGAGAATCGGCGATCACCCGGAGCTCCACCAGTTGATTGAAGTGGTTTTGGATTTGGGTCGAAAGCCCTTGGCTCGGTTTCCATCTGGAGACTTTGTTTTATCGAATAATGCCATCACGGTGGATGATCTTGAACATGCCACTTCAGCGGTGAGTTTAATTCTTGCCCACCAACTGTTTGAGAAATTGCGTTTGAATTTTTATTTTTATTTTTATTTTTATTTTTTTAACTTTGAGGTTTATTGGTATCTGGCTATTTTGTATTTTTGTTTTTCAATGATTCTTAATAATTTTTGTTGTATTTTAAGTAATTTTAGATACTGGGTTGAGACTTGAGACCAATGGCTATGACCAAATGAGATTCTAGATGGAATTTTTTAATGTCCAGATGTGATCGAAATTCACTACGGACAATGCAATATCTATTTGGCCTAAGATCAGTTCGGAGCAGCATTTATTAGATTGGAAATTTATTTTAGGATTTTGAAATTGCATTCATATGCAAATTGGTTTTGGGATTTTACCAGTGGCTGTACAAGTTAAGTATGCTAGTTGAACATAGAGTGATGGAAAAGCCTTACTCAAGAAAACTAAAAACAAGCAAAATGAAAATCATCAGGATCAGTGTCAAGCTATTGGTGCAACCTAAATAAAGTTACTTTGTCAAGACAAGACATTGCTTTGACATCACATGGCAAACCATTAGCATTCTTGTCTTGAGAACTTGCTCTCATTTTGAATCCAATTCATGATCTTTTGATAATCCCAAATCCTGTGGTTCTGTATTGAGTAGATCTTTTTCTTTCTTACTTAAATTGGTAGACGTTATGATTGTGCAAGACAGTTTTTACTTTTTGTTTTATTGCTTTAGTGTTAGGTCAGGTTTTACACTTGTAAGTTCACCTATTTAAGGCTGTAAACTTTATGTAAGATGTGGAATACAGATAGAAGGATTCATATGGCTCCTCCAAGATTGAGACAGATTTCTTTCCAATATTGGTGTGAAGCATTTAACTGTTCATCTGAATACATCAACTCGTTACTGCTAGTAATGAAAGGCAAACTCAAGCTTTCATATGGTTGATTTAGAACTTTTCTCTTTAAAAGGGGCAGTACTCTACCGATTGCTCCCTTGCCCTAAACTTTTATAGTCTACGAGGTCCTAAATTTTCAATACCTTTTTATTTTTTCCATGTGAAGGAGAAATAAGGCTAGAATTAAATTGGTGGTTGAAGGGAGAAATTATGATTTCGGTTGCTACTTACTGACATCTCATGCTGCAGGTTGGTGACTTTGCCTTTGATAATCGAGCAGGCATTAGCAGAACCTTACACCGCATTAGTGCCATTAGAAATCGCAAGGGTGCTATTATTGGTTTGACTTGTCGTGTTGGTAGAGCTATATCAGGAAGTGCGAATTTGTTGCGAGACTTGGTGAAAGATGGGGCTTCTTTGTTGCTTATTGGACCTCCGGGAGTAGGCAAAACCACAATTATCAGGTTGGGCATTCCTATATGCTTAGAAGTTTCTTCTTCTTCTTTCTTTTTATTTTTTTTCTAGTTGCAGCCATTAAACATGTTCCAAAAAAATAATCTCTTGGTCATTATCTTCTTGACAACATATTCTTCAGGGGGCTATTGTCACCTTCCATTTTTTTGTCTTTTTAGTTTCCTTTTTCCCCCCTGTGGTTTACATGGGTATATTTACATAAGGGGTTATTATTCTGAATATTGGATACTGATCTGCAGTCATTATTATCATGGCTTATCATAATTAAAATATATATTAAAACATACCTAATACATGAAACAACTCAAAAGTAAGCAAGTTTGTATTTTTGTTTGCTGTGGCCAATTTTTCCTAGAAAGCATATCATTTTTGTGCATGGAGCGGGAGCTGGTAATGCTACAATACTCTAAAACATGGTGTGGCAAGAATGTTCTAAATAAACCACATAGAACATGCTTGCTATCTCACGCAGACATGGTGACTGTATATGAAAGTTTTTGCAGAATAGTCAGTTTACTGTGTTGTTATATCTTGTAATGTGAACTCCATATGATCTTTTCACATGGAAACATATCACAGGCGGATAAGTTTACCTATTTAGCTTTCAGATCTTTTTGCAGTCCATATGCTGTAAGTCCAACTTATAAACTTTCTTGTATTTTTTTATTAATAACCTGCTTATTTTTGTATATTAGGAGGTCTAATTTTGCAATGTTATGTTTCTTTCTGTTGCTGCTTAAACATCTATAAAGTTCCAAATATACTATACTTTGACATTTTAAAATGTTAAACCTTATGAAATTCCATCCAGGGAATGGTTATCCTTTGGGAAAAGATATATAGATATTTTTTGTTTAGACCTTGTTATTCACTGATTGTTTTGAGTAGGAGCTATTTTCATAGCTTTGATTTGCATGTTCAACAAAAACCTAGGTAAAGGTAAAAGAAACAGTTCAATAATTTCAGTCACAAAACTGAGGCTTACGTATGATATGGTAGTTTTAGGTGTGTTTAAAAATATGCAGTTTTATGACTATTCAAAGACATTAAATTTCCCAGTCTTTCAGGGACATTGCTCGGATGCTCGCAAATGATTACAAGAAACGTGTGATGATTGTTGATACCTCAAATGAAATAGGGGGTGATGGCGACATACCACATGCTGGAATAGGTAGTGCTAGACGGATGCAAGTCCCTAGCTCTGATATGCAACATAAGGTATGAGCTAAAATTTTAGCTTAAAATATTCCTTGTCAAGTCAGTCAACCATTGGGGAAAAAAAAGAAGTGCAGAGGATACAATTCCTTGAATGCTGGCATGGCTACAACCACCATCTGTTCAAAAAACTTAGGTTCAAACAAGGATTTTCTTTCAGAGTATGTGATCATTGACTTTGGCAAAGATTTAGACTCATATTTCATTCATGTCAATGGTACTTGGCACAAACCATTTGTAGATGGAGTGTCATAAAAAACAACGCCCAATTAGTACATGTTAATGTGTGTTTGGGAGGGGAAAGATTGAGTACACACCTAACATTTGGCATAATGCACAAAGTAGTGCTCCCAAGACTTGAACCCGTAACCTCAAGATTATTATGCTCCTTAATTATTTCTGATACTGAATCATATCTCCATCTTATTTATGTTATATTCTGTCATTTGATTAAAGGATTTATGTCTAGGTACTGATTGAAGCAGTTGAAAACCATATGCCACAAGTTATTGTAATTGATGAAATTGGCACAAAACTTGAAGCAATGGCTGCAAGCACGATTGCACAACGTGGCATTCAGCTAGTTGCCACTGCTCATGGGGTAACAATCAAGAATTTAATAATGAATCCTTCATTGGAGATGCTTGTTGGAGGAATACAGGTGAGAGAACATGAGCTTTTTGATGTGTAATCAAGTGTCACTTTAATATGTAGAATCTAATGGAAACTGAGACTTCAACTTGTTTGGCTTCAACTTGTTTGGTGTTTACTGTGAGTATATTAATGTAGTTTATTCCAGTTCTATTTCATTGTTTTCTATTCTTTTCTAGTGTTAATGTTACCATTGTTCACTTTGCTTATTATGAAGTATGGAAGTTACTATATATATTTCATTTGTGTCCTACTCTCACATATTATGAATATCATGCAGAAATTATGTTCAAACACTCTTTCTGACTGTATTTTTATGACTATTTTATTTCAATTACAAAATTTTCTAGGAAGGAGTGGCTTATTGGTATGCTGACTAGTCACATTAATATATCCATTTCTCAGAGTGTGACACTAGGGGATGAAGAAGCAAGCCGGAGGCGTGTTCAGAAAACAGTGCTGGAAAGGAAAGGACCCTCAACATTTAGTTGTGGTGTAGAGATAATTTCCAAGAATGAGCTGCGAGTTCATTCTAATTTAGAAGCAACAGTGGATGCTATTCTTTTAGGTAGCTTTCCCTTCTTCTTTAAGAAAGAAAATTTTCCTGGCAATTAATTTCTAATTTTCCATTTTCTTTGTTTATTGTCTTAAAAAGTGTCAACTCCATGTTGCCTCATTGTTTGACATGCTGTTACTGATATGTTGATGAAGGTCGCTACCCAAACTATGAAATTCGCAAGATAAACCCGGGATCAGAAGATGAAACTTTAGAAGCAAAATCTTTCATTCATGAGTCTTTGGAAAAAAATGGAGGTGTAGTTGAAGATATTCTACAGATCAATGATGAGAGTCCTAGCCATAATGAATCACTTGTGAAATACCTCAAATCATGGGAGAAAGTTCTCTTGATGACGAAGCACCTATCTGCTTGTTTGTTTATGGGGTAAGGTATCGTCATTTTTCAATATTTTAACTATATATACTATTTACTTTGTTTTCTATTTTTGAAGCTAGGCTGAAATGCTTGTCTCAAAATTTTTAATTTTGTATTTTTCAGGATTTCCTATGCAATTGCAATTTTAAACAAAAAAAATTTCTCCTTCTTAGAGATGAATGGATGAAGTTTCTTGCAATGACTTGCACAATGTAATACTGTATTCTTGGGCTTAGCTTATTAGGTTGTCACTAGTTCATGTGAACTCTAATTTTAACAAGAAATTGAATTTATGGGGTCCTTTTCACCTTGATTCTCATTGTATTCCATGTTTTTAATTTTTATTAATTATTAACCGATCTTGTTACGACATGGTTTGAAGGAAGACCACTAGGAGTTGAGATTAATAGTGTTCAACTTCCTTTTATTTTTTCCCCGAAATATTGTTTTTATTCTGAACCCTGATCCCATTTCTTAACTTATCAAGATGAGTAATTATATTTGCCAGAACTTGCAGTAGCTAATGTATTAAAAGTTAGAAATTATTGCACGTGGAACTTATATGGCGGGTAGGTATTATAGATCCTGGAGACAAGTGTGATACAAGGGATTAAACAATTAGAGATGGATGGTGAGATTAAACTTACTGATAACATCAGCGAAGCACATGCACTACTTGCCTTGCAGTCCAAGCTCAAGAAGAATCTCGAATTCAAGCTGCCGCTAGATCCCATGGCATACCGATTTATGTTACAAGGTAACTTCCCATAACTTTTACTTAGCCTTGCATATCCCTTGTTAATGAGTTCTTATTGAAAATTTTCCTTTCCATCCTCCTCTTCTTCAATTTACATTACATAATATGTTTTTTGTAGACAAGCTCATTGATGCAGTTGACGAAAGCCATACGGGCATTAATAGCTGATCATGAAGATGGTTTTAAGGATTTTGATCGGATGACAAGATAAATGGCCTCAGAAGATTGAAGCCTTGGAGGTGAAAATGAGTTTTTTTTTGCTTATCTATTTCATCTTTCTCACTGCATGGCTACATGCTATTGACACTCGCTAACTGAAGGGTTTGCATGTGCCAAACTGAAGGAGATTTTCCAGTTTGGTGTAGTACGTTAATTATGTGTTGGGCTTGGATTCAATTCAAGCACTTCATTAATTTAGCCATTCTGTATTGGGCCGTTCTGTATTGGGGGGATGGAAAACTGGCTTAGCTTGACCCAACTTTTGGGCCTATTCCTACCCAGAGGCAGTGCCACATGTTTTTCAGGGTATTCAGTTGAATATAGTTCAATACCTGACTTTGTTTTTCTTATGTTTACACTTAAATTTGAACACCCAAGTTAACATATTTTGAATACTCATTCCACAAATCTTGAATATCCAACTCACCCATCTCAAATTTTGCACACCCACTTTACAATCCACTTGCAAGCTCTTATAATTTTGAATGTAATACCCTCATAAGAAACACATGTATCCAGAAACACACGGATCCAGAAAAAGTGCTTAGAAAGTGAAGTGTATGGTATAGGTTTAAAGTTGGGGTGGTGTGGGCTGTCTAGTCCATGCACTCAAAAACCCAAAAATGCTATCCTCAAATTGAAAAAGTAAAAAAGTTAATACATGAAAGATAGCTCTTCAGTAAATATAACTTATGTTGAATTATGGCACTATGCCTCGTTTGAGAGTAGGTTATTTTAGTATTTTTAACGTTTTGGCTAACATATGAGGTAAAAAAAACTAGTAATTTTGGGATGATTTTAGTTTTTTACAAAAAAAGGTGCAAAAAGTAAAGAGAAAATGGAATCTTTGAATTTTATTTATTTTTTTTGGTATAGTTTGTTTGTTTTTTTGACTTTTTTAGCGATTTTTTGGCTTTTAGGCTAAATGAGCGCTTCCAAACGAGGCAAATTTGAAAAAAACTGCCTCCAAACTCCATCAAATTATTTTTTTATTTGTGATTTGAGAAGTTTAATTAAGAGATTATTGGAAGTGGATGATCGGTATAGATAAGTGTGACTTCTTTTATATAAATTCTAATTCAAGCTTTTTAAATGTCTACCTTGACCAAAATTCTAGGAGGCGACACTGTTCCTGCCTATACTACCCACATTTCCATGTGTCACTTCCATCTGAACTGAAAAAAGATTGCCATGCTTTATTGTTCATTAAAATTGAAGGCTCTAGTCAGGCTCATGAGCCTCAACATTGATACCATGCATGTGGCTTAATGAAAGAATGAATATGTTCACCTTAATTATCCCAGGATACCAACCTAAAGGTATGCTTTGGGTTTAGATTGCAGTAAAATGAATTTAGGCTTTTAGAAATTTTACACATATTTGAAGTTAAATTACATTAAATGCATCTAAGAAAATGTAGTAGTAGCATAGTCAGAGGACTGCAATGGACTTGCATAGCAGCATTAGGAAACTAGATTTTATTTAACAAATAATATAACTCAAGTTAGTTAAAATAGCAAGAGTAGATTTCGGTTGCCAATCATGAGGTATTGTATAAGGTCCTCTTTGGTAGGGCTGAGTAAGGATTCGTAAATCCGTAAATCCGTAATCCGATCCAGTCCAGTCCAATCTGATAGGTTTGGATTGATTTTTTGAATCCGTGGTTCGATTTCGGATTGAAGAATTAAAAATCCGTAGTCCACGGATTGGTTCCGGATTGAACCCACGGTTCCGGATTGAAACCGATCCGGACCGTATACATATAGTCATATTTTTATATATCTCTCCCCATAATAATTTCTCTTATTCTAATATAAAACCTAAACTCAAACCTAAACCCGTATAATATGTTCTTTTTATTACTTTTGTTTGTTAGTTTTTAGTTTTAATTTGTAATGGTCTAAATACTTATGGTGAAATCAGTTTTCTTATGGTTGTTTAAATTCTAGAATATTATGTCACTATTATAGAAAAACATGTTGTTATTATGGAACGAATAAAGAGCTATGCTTATATTTTTATGAAATTAAAAGTTATATATATATAATATATTTTTTTTTGTTATTTAATTATGTGAATCCGTGGTCCTACACCGATCCAATCTGTGTTTAAACGGATTGGTTCGGATTAGTTCTATGATTTAAACGGATTGGATTGGTTCCGATTGTTCAGAACCGTAGATAATGGATTGGTTCCTGTTTTGTCCCAATCCGGACCATGCTCACCCGTACTCTTTGGCCAAACTCTTAAATAAGTTGCTTTTTTGTTAAAAAAGCCAAAGCCGAAAGTCTGTTTGGGACAGCTAAATAAGTTGCTTTTCCATAGAAAGCTTCTTTTTTTTTGAAAATCTGCATGTTTATGAAAAGACAATTTTTACCCTCAGGGCATATTACAAATTCCACCGTGTCTCTTTGGTTATGTTAACCAAGACTCCACAACACTATGAGTGTACTTGTCCTTTTAACGTGATTTCTTTCGGCTAAGCTTTTTATCCATATTTGGTTGACCTTATTTGTTTCTTGGAACTTCTCGATAAAGATTTTCTCTCCCATCTTACAGGAGGCCAGGATTGCCATCGAGAAAGTAGTGATTCCGAAAGGGGAACCTGTGGAGCTACTCCCTAGGCCATCGAACATTATTTTGCTTCAGAAGGACCTCATTCACAAGTACAAGTTACAAACAGAGAGAGTTGGAGCAGAGCCGGACGCACGACTTCGTATCCTTCCATATCAAACTACAAGGGATGATGAAGACGAAGACGCCAGTGAGAGTATTGATGCTGTAGGGAGTTTGATGACTTGTTCAGTCTCAATGGCGAAACAACTGGTCCCGCCTACGTTGTTGATAGATTGCCTCTCCTCCCGACTAGGCACTATAGTATGTATAGACTGGTTCTATGATGTCTCAGTAGTGTGTAGCATCTTGTAAGGTCTGGCCATCTCAAATCTGTATAGCATTTTGTGGAAAATTTACTGCTACCAGATTTTAGCTGCTAATTGAAAAGATCCAAACCTTTAATGGTCTTAAATTTATTTTCCTTTTTGTTGTTGAAGTTTTTGATGTTTTTGCATTTTCAGTTATGTAGCTGGTGAAGATGTGAAAAGATAAATTGATCAAAT